AGTCTTTCTGTTCAAACTTCGTCTCAGCAATTGATTTGGCCCTGAGAGCTTCATCTCTGTTACACTCCATATCTCCTCACCAAATGATTCCTGAATGCTCTTCTGACTTATTCCTGCTCCCAGCCTTCCATTCCAACGAGTCAAAATGTTCTTCAATCCAGCAAGAAATTCAGTAATATCAAAACGCGTAGCTCAAAAACCTCAGTTCTTTTATTAAATTAGAGATCTTTTCTGCTGTTCAACTACCTAAATCAGATAAGAATATAGAATGATATTACCATCACTCCTTAAACCACAAAAACTCAAACTAAGGTCATGCCATTGATAAATACTGTTCCCGTCAAGTACAGAATATAAAAGCAAACTCCAAAGATAAATGTGACATGAACCATTCCAAAGGATGAATATGCTTCCAAGTTCAAACATGATACGGTACCCTACCAATTCTCCAGAATGAATCTATAGCTTTCAATCTTAACGCAGCAAAACTATATTCAGCAATTCGATGAAAATATCACTGAAATTTAAAATTTACTCAAAAAAGCAAGAAGAAAAAACGTCACTGAGCTTTTGAAATTCAATAGTCGATACAGAAAACTTAAACCAGCGACGACGATCCAAATTCTCGAAAAAACGCTACAGATTTCAAACAAGATTAATTAATCAAAACAGCATTAACACTGGATGGATCTGAACCAAATTTCATATACAAGCAGCTAACGAAGATCGAATTTCTCAAACTCTAGACTCGATTCGAAACCATACAATTCAGCAACAACGGAAGTTTTGAAGTAAAAACATGTAAATTCACACGAAAAGTATTGCCAAAATACTTACGGAGGATTAGAATCAGTATCAGAAGGCTGCCGAAATGGTGATGGCCATGACTCCGGTTTCAATCGAATTGGAATGGGAAGAGAACAATGGAGGGAGAGCTGAAATTTTTGTGCCAAAACCTCTCAAAATATGCAACAGCGCTGAAATGCATTAATAAAATACCTAAAATTGGAAGATAAATGTAGGGATACCTTAACCATGGTGAGACTAACCAAGCTATATACCTGGTCCGTCCCTGAGTGTTTGTCCACTTTTGACTTTTGGAACTGTTCATCTAAGCACTTTGACTCATCAAATTCTCTCAATGTGTAAGCCTAAAAATAGTCATGTGTGATCTTTTTTGATTCGTCTTAACATATAGATTATTAATATATAATTTTTATAATTTTTTAATATACAAATTACAAGATAAAATGGATTAAAGAAGTGCATTGGATGGTGTGCAAAAATGAAAGTGGACAAACACTCAGGGACGGAGGGAGTATTTAACTCGAGTTACTTTTGTTAAAATTTTATTTGCTCTCTCATAAATTTTTGAATAAAAACAAGAGTACACCAAAAAAGTGTCTGTATTTGTCTGTATTTGCTTAAAGCACACCCCATTTTAGTTTACCTCTAATATGTCCCTAAAAAATTTACACATTACTATTCATCTTTCATCTTTTTTTCATAACTTTGATTGATTATTCGGTTAAATGAAATAGTCATGTTACTTTTATTTTATACTTCGTTAACTCTTTCATACTTTCACCGTCTCAAATTAAATTATCTATTTATTATATATATATTCAAACTTTATTCACTTTCTTTCACTATTTTTGTTACTAATTATATGAAATAATATAGTCATGTTCTTTTTTTATAATAAAGCTTTTCAATCAAACATCATAAATCAAAATAAGTGATTTAAATTGGAACGAAGAGAGTAACTCATCATTGAAAATTTTATTATCCATATTTTTTCAAATATTTTGTATCTTTTTCAATCACTTTTTACACTCTCTCAAAGTTGGTCCAAAGGAATGCCAAGGTGCCATACTGAGACCCATTTTATACGGGGGCCAAATTTTCTAATTTTTTATAGCTTACACCACATATTGTACCTCATTTGTACACAGTAGGCATACATAAACATTTTGATTGTTTGCACCAACACAAATGTTGGTGCGTTAACAAAAATTTACACGGACATAAAGTGTTTGTACATTAATAAAAATTGGTTTTACATCAATACAAAGTGTTGGTGCAAACCTGCGGGGTACAAAGTGGGGTACAAAAACATGGGGTACAAGTAGCTTTATCCTTTTTTATATGCTAAACACATACTTCCTCAATCACAAAAAGAATCTTACAATTCACTATTCAAAAACTATAAAATATTTTATTTATTTGCACGTTTTCATTGATTATTTGATAAAATAAAATATTCTTATCGCATCTTGTTGGGAAGTACTTTCAACCTAATTTTTTAAAAATATATTTTATTTTGGAAAAATTACCCAAAATAATCTCAACTTTACCCGGTCTTTCAAAAATAATCCCACCTTTCACTGTGATGCATAATAATCCCAACTTTATTGAAATTTGCCAATTTTGGGTCGCCGTTAAGTTTCTAACGGAGGGTTAACGGAAATGCCCGTTTTAGGCAACAAAATGAAAATTGGGATTATTTTTGATGAATTTTTGTTTTTTAATTTTTTTTGAAATTTTTATTTAAATTTTTTGAATTACTTTCAACCTCCATTTCTTTTTCTTTTTTAAAGATTATTCTTACCTTAGAAAAAAAAGTTATAAAAAATAATGAAAATGAGAAAAATAACTAAAACCATACAAAATTAATCAAATAAATAATGTAATCAATAGATATTAAAAAAAACTGGTAAGAAATAAAATAAATATATACGGAGTGGTGGGTTTTAACATTTTACACATTATACGGAGTCTTAATATACTACTTATTTTTTAAAAGAAAAAGCCGTCATGTAAAGTTG